CAGGGGAGGTGTAGAGTTGGCACCCTCCCACCTTGCCTTCGCGACCCCTCGCGAGCGGCGAGCAGATCCACATACACACCCTCGCGGCTTGGATTCCCGGGACCAGTCCTGGGGATACGCGGTCGCACGGGTGCGTTCCGAGCGAGGCGTCCGCAGCAGAAGAGCTCCCCGTGCCCACGGGGTCGCTGCCCAGGGGGCAGGCCCGCGAGGCCGTGGCTGTGGATGTGCCACCCGCCAGCGGACCCCCTTTGGCTCAGTGGCGCGAGGAGTGGCAGGGGGACCAGAGCGACTGCGGCAGCGAGGACCCCGCGGAGCGCAGCCCTTCGACCTCCGCCCTGCGCGCGCCGGGCGCCGGTCACCGGCCCGCGGTCGCCGCGCGGCGGTCGCGCAGGCAGGACGCTGAGGCAAGGACCACTTTGGGCGACGGACGACGCCCGACGGCGACGACGACCGATGTCGACGACGGCGGACGACGGCGCACGACGACGGACGACGACGACGGACGACGGCGACGACGGCGACGCCGACGCCGACGTTTCGACGACGACGGACGACGACGGACGATGACGACGACGGACGACGAACGACGACGGATGACGATTGACGGCGACGAACGACGACGGACGACGATGACGACGACGGACGACGACGACGACGGACGACGACGGACGACGACGGACGACGACGGACGACGACGACGATGATGACGGCGACGGCGACGGCGACGGCGACGACGACGGACGACGACAACGCCGACGGAGGACGACTGACGACGTTGGACGACGAGGACAACGACGAAAACGACGTTGAACGACGACGGACGACGACGGACGACGACGACGACGACGGCGGCGACGACGACGGACGACGACGACGTCGACAACGGACGACGACGACTGACGACGACGGATAACGACGGTCGACGGTCGACGGCGATGACGACGACAACCACACCGACGACGACGACGGCGTCTGACGATGACTCACGACGATGACGACTCGACAAGGGACGACGACGGACGACGACGGACAATGACGCCCACGAGAGACGACGGCAGGCGACAACGACAACGGACGACGACGACGAACGACAACGGACGTCGACGACGACGAAGACGACGACCACCGACTTTGACGACGGTGGACGACGGCGGACGGCGACGACGATGGACGATAATGATGTCGACGACGACGGACGACGGCGACGACGACGGACGACGACGACGACGCCGACGTTTCGATGACGGTCGACGACGACGGACGACGGACGGACGACGACGCCGACGGACGACGGACGACCATGGATGACGATGGACGACGACGGACGACCGCGGACGACGATGACGACGGACGACGGTCGACGACGGACGACGACGATGATGACGGCGACGGCGACGACGACGACGACGACGATGACGGCGACGACGACGACGGACAACGGCGCCGACGACGACAACGCCGACGGAGGATGACGGACGACGACCGACGACGACGACAACGACGAAAACGAGTTGGACGACAGCGGACGACTCTCGACGTCGACTGCGACGACGACGGACGACGACGACGACGACGACGACGGGCGACGACGGACTACGACGGACGATGACGGACGACGGTCGACGACGGACGACGACGACGGACGACGACGACGAACGACGACACACGACGACGGACGACAAGGGCCGACGACGCACGACGACGGACAATGACGACTACGACGAGGACGACGGCAGGCGACGACGACGACGACGGACGACGACGAACGACAACGGACGTCGACGACGACGACGAAGACGACGACCACGGACAACGAGGGAATACGACCACGGACGACGACGGACGATGACCGCGACGACGGACGACGACGACGACGGACGACGACGACGGTGGCGACGACGACGACAACCACGACGACGACGACGACTTACGACGATTCTCGACGATGACGACGACGGACGATGACGGACGACGACGACGACGACGACGGACGACGACGACGGACGACGACGGACCACCCTATCTTCTGGCGACGGACGTTGACCGACTACAACGACGACGACGACGATGGTGCACGACGGTCGACGACGACGACGAAGACGGGCGACGGACGACGACGGATGTAGATAGACGGCGGCGGACGACCTGTGACGACGACGGACGACGACGGACGATGACGACGAGGGACGACGACGTTCGACGACGGACGACGACGATGATGACGACGACGGCGACGACGACGACAGCCGACGACGACGACAACGCCGACTGAGGACCTCGGACGACGATCACGACGACAGACGACGACGGACGACGACGGGCGGCGATGGGCGACGACGGACGACGACGACGACAACGACGACCGAAGACGACGGACGACGACTGAGGACGTTCATGACGACGACAGGCGTCGACGACGACGATGAAAACGACGGAGGACGACTACGGACAACAACGGACGACGACGACGACGACGCTGACGACGACGGACGACGACGGACGATGGGCCACGACGACGGGCGATTGACGACGACGACGACGACGGCGACGGACGATGACGAGGACGACGACGGACGGACGACGGCAGACGACGACGTACGGCGACGGGCAACGATGGACGACGACGGACGCTGACGACGGTGACGGCCGACGGACGACGGTCGACCACGGACGCCGACGACGGCTACGGACGACGGATGACGACAGACGACGATGATGGCGACTGACGACGACGAACGAACGACGACGACGACGACGGGCGACGACGACGGCGACGGACGACGGACGACGACGGACGACGACGGTGGTGATTGACATCGACGGATGACGACGACGACGACGGACGACGTCGGACGACCACCGTCGACGAGGGACGACGACCGACGACGACCACGATAGAGGACAGAGGACAGACGACCGACGACGACGGACGACGGCGGAAGGCGATGGACGACGGCGGACGACTACGGACGACGACGGACGACGAAGATGGACAGCGACGGCGACGACTGCGACGACAGCAAGACGGCTACGACGACGACGGCGATGGACGTCGACGAACGACGGTGGACGACTACGGAAGACGACGACGACGGTCGACGACGACGACGATGACGGACGACGCACGACGACCGACGAGACCGACGACGAGCGACGACGACGGACGACGACGGAAGACGACGACGACGACGATGACGGACCCCGGCGGACGACGACCGACGACGACAACGGCGACGACGACGACGATGACGACGACGATGGCGAAGACGGAGGACAACCTCGACGACATTGCTGACCACGTCGACAACCGACGACGATGGACGACGACAGGCCGCGAGAGACGACGATGCCGACGGGTGACGACTGACGACGACGACGATGACGACGAAGACGAATACGACGACGACGACGACGACGGACGACGACAACGGGCGACGGTGGACGACGACGACGACGGCGATGACGACGGCGACGACGATGGACAATGGACGACGATGGATGACGGCAGGTGGCGACGGAAGACGACGATGGCGACGACGACGACGGCGACGGCGACGACGACGACGACGACGACGGGCGACGACGGAAAACGACGACGACGAGGAAGACGAAGACAGCGACGATGACGAAGACGACGACGACGAGGACGACGGCGGCGGCAGCGGTGGCGGCGGCTGCGGTGGATGGCGATGGACGACGGCGGACGACAACGACGTTGACGACGGACGACGGCTGTGGACGACGACGACGGCGGCGACGACGACGACGACGACGTGTGACAACGACGCCGACTGCGACGACCTGCACGACGATGACGGCGGCAGCGACGAAAGACGACGACGGACGACCGCGGACTACGAAGACTACGAAGACGACAACATAATGCCACGTACGACGACGGGCGACGGACGACGACGACGACACTGACGACGACGGACGACGACGGGCGACGATGACGACGACGCCGGCGGAGGACGACGATGACGGATGACGATGACGTCGACGGCGGGCGATTACGGACGACGACGACGACGACGACGGACGGCAGTCGACGGACGACCACTACGTCAGACAACGACGACAACGATGACGACGACGGACGACGACCACAACCGGCAATGGACGATGACGGACGCCGACGACAACCAAAACGATTGACGATGACAATGACGCACGATGACTCGCGACTGACGACGGCGACGGACGACGGTGGATGACGGCGACGACGGTTGACGATGACGAGTGTTGACTGACGAGGACTGGCGACGAAGACGCAGACGACGTCGACGAAGGATGGATGGACGGACGGACGGACGGACGGACTGACGGTCGGACGGACGGACGGACGGACGGAACCGCGACGACGACAATTACGGACGATTGACGACGGACGACGGACGACGACGGCGACGATGCCGACGGAATTTGGTCACCGGGCCGCTCGTTAGGTCTTGGTCGGGGATTCCCCCAAACCCTTCGTGTTGTGAGAGTCAGGGCGTCAGGTTTTTCTCCCTTTTCCTCCCTTTTCCTGTGCTGAGTTCCTTTCCCGGGCCTCAGTCCCCAGGAAGGGGTTCAAACCTTTTTGGGTGTCCACGCCAGGAAGGAATAACGATGTCGGTGTCTGGGTCCATTGGTGGCCGAATCTCGCCGTGGCCAGAAAAGCCCTGTCCTCCCTCCCCCCCCGAGGCTCGGTAGCACGATGGCCGTAGCCTGGCCTCCGCCGCCGCCTCGGCCCGCAGCAGCGGCCGCGTCTGCGCAACGCTGGCTTCTCGGAGGGTGCGGAAGGTGGACCCGGACATCCGACGTTTGCTTCATCCTGGCCTTTGTTTTTCGATCAGCCATTGGTCCGGGAGGCGCGGGAGAGGGTCGAGACTTCTGGGGTCGGCGGGTTAGAAAGAGTGGATCCGCCGCAAGTCTGGGGAAGTCGAGGGAACAGAGGCCACCGCCAGAGAATATCCGTGTCCACCGCCTCGGAGTCGTGCCTCCTCGAGGAGCGGTGGATGTGGAGGTGGATGCCCGCCCCCGAGATCGGGAAGGTATCCGTGCTCACATCGTTTCGCAGGGATCCAGGGCATGACTCCAGCAGCCGTGGACGTGGCTGCTCCCTGGCGGCAGCAGCGGTACCTTCGGGGGCGTGGCCTTCTGGGGAGGGCAGGCTCCTGCACCTCCGAGGGCGCGTGGCCGAGGGTCTCAAAGTGGGGCTCCTCTCGTTGACCCGTGCGGGGCACACCGGGCAAGGGCCTCGGGGCCTGCGGGCGGAAGGAGGCTGGTGGAAGGCCGGCGGAAGCACAAAATGTGACATCAACCTTGTTGGACGCGGGGTTCCCAGAGTCGGCCATGTGAAGCCCCCCCGCCCTCTTAGAAGGCCGCCCCCTCCGCCCTGCCCATTCTTGGCGTGCCACCAACAGGACTGGCAGGGGGACCGGATGTCTGTCGGCAGCGTGGAGGGGATCTTTCGTTGTCGATGGGCTCAAATCAGTGCGCGCCTGATTGTCGCAACAACGGCCGCTGTGAAAAACTGGTCATGGGGATGTGTGGTCGATAGCTCCAGGGCCTACGTCGCGACGAAGTCACGACGTCAAAGACCTGGAAACAAAAACAAACACATGTTTCCACACTGGGCCCGCCCGTCCCTTGGCGGATGGAATTTGTGTGTCCGCGCGGTGAAGCATCGGCATGTGAGTTTTCTAGCCGCCCCAGGGCCCAGAGCTCCGACGTCGTGATTTTTTCCCAGCCATCCTGTGGTGTTCGGTCCTCGCTTTGAAGAGACAGCGCCCCGCATCCTGCCCTCCTCCTCCTCCTCCTCCTCCTCCTCCTCCTCCTCCTCCTACTCCTCCTCCTCCTCCTCCTCCTCCTCCTCCTCCTCCTCCTCCTCCTCCTCCTCCTCCTCCTCCTCCTCCCCTCCTCCTCCTCCTCCTCCTCTCCTCCTCCTCCTCCTCCTCCTCCTCCTCCCTCCTCCTCCTCCTCCTCCTCCTCCTCCCTCCTCCTCCTCCTCCTCCTCCTCCTCCTCCTCTCCTCCTCCTCCTCCTCCTCCTTCTCCTCCTCCTCCTCCTCCATCCTCCCATCCTTGCCTCTGCCCTCCTCTTGTCAACCATCATCGCATACCCTTCGCACAGTTCGGAGCCCCATAGGGAGCTCGACCGAAGGCCCCAGAAGCAGGGTTCGCATGCGGCTCCCCGCCCACCGCATGTCAATGTCGGCACACCCTTCACACGCTTCGTGGCCCCATAGGGAGCTCCACCAAAGGTAGCAGGGTTCGCATGCGGCTCCCGCCCACCGCATGTCCATGCCAGGAAACCCCTCACACGCTTCTGGGCCCCACAGGGATCTGCACCGAAGGCCCCAGTGGCAGGGTTGGCATGCGGCTCCCCGCCCACCGCATGTCCATGCCGGCAAACCCCTCACACGCTTCGTGGCCCCAAAGGGAGCTCCACCGAGGGCCCCAGTGGCAGGGTTCACATGGGGCTATCCGCCCACCGCATGTCCATGTGGGCACACCCATCACACGCTTCGTGGCCCCATGGAGAGCTTCACCGAAGGCCCCAGTAGCAGGGTTCACATGCGGCTCCCCACCCAGCGAATGTCCATGCCAGGAAACCCCTCACACGCTTCGCGGCCCCATAGGGAGCTTCGACAACGGCCCCAATGGCAGGGTTCGCATGAGGCTCCCCGCCCACCGCATGTCCATTTCGGCACTCCCCTAAGACGCTTCGTGGCCCCATAAGGAGCGCCACCGAAGGCCCCAGTGGCAGGGTCCGCATGCGGCTCCCCGCCCACCGCATGTCCATTTTGGCACTCCCCTCACACGTCTCGTGGCCCCATAGGAAGCTCCACCGAGGGCCCCAGTGGCAGGGTCCGCATGCGGCTTCCTGCCCACCGCATGTCCATTTCGGCACTCCCCTCACACGCTTCGTGGCCCCATAGGAAGCTCCACCGAGGCCCCAGTGGCAGGGTTGGCATGCGGCTCCCCGCCCACCGCATGTCCATGTAGGCACATCCCTCACACGTTTCGTGCCCCATAAGGAGCTCCTCCATCGAAGGCCCCAATGGCAGGGTTCGCATGCGGCTCCCCGCCCACCGCATGTCCATGTGGGCACATCGCTCACACGTTTCGTGTCCCCATAAGGAGGTCCTCCGCCGAAGGCCCCAGTGGCAGGGTCCGCATGCGGCTCCCCGCCCACCGCATGTCCATGTCGGCTCTCCCCTCACACGCTTCGTGGACCCATAGGGAGCTCCATCGAAGGCCTCATTGGCTGCGCCCGCATTCGGCACTCGCTTCAATGTCGGCACACCCCTCACACGTCTCGTGGCTGCATCGTGGCCCGCCCGAGCCTCGCCTTCTGTCGACTATTTAAGTGTTTGGCCTCGCGCTATGGACGACCCGCGCGCGTCGCTGGAGTCCTCTCGGAGCGACCAGCGCTTGTCTCGGGGACTCCCCTGCGCTCTGCCACCAGAAGCTGCCCGACTCCCGCACGCTCTGCCCAGCGCTACGCCCGCTGGCGGACGACCCGCGCGCGTCGCCGGGACTTCTTCGGGCGACTGGCGCGCGTCGCGGAGGTTCCGCGCAGCGCTCTGCCCCTGGCCGCGCCAGGGCGGAGGGACAAGGAGTGGAGAAATATGAAGGAAAGAAGTGGACACAAAACGGCGGCGCCGGGGGCTCGTGCCATCGCCCGCCAGTCGGGCAGGAACGCAGCGCACAACGGAAGCGAGCGAATGGGAGGAAGAGCTGGCAAGGAACGGGCACGAAACGGCGGCGCCCGGGGCTCGCGCGAAACCACGAAGACCCCCTGTTCGCCCAGGCGCGCTCTTCCTCCCGTGTACGCCGCAGACCTTTTGCTGGCCCCTCCTTCATGACATCTGCACCGCTATACTCGCAACTGCGTATGGTTGGGTCCTTCGCCCGGATAATTCCAGAAGGTCGACCCCCAAAGGCTTGGACCCCTTTTTTGGGACCAGTCTTTCATCCCAGGCAGTTTTTTTGACGGTCCCGAGGCCCAGTGAGAGCCCCCGGAGACCAGAAACGAGACCGAAAACGGTTGGCAATTTATTTTTTCGTGACGAGGCCGGGGGGGGAGAGCCGTCCCTCACGGTGGAAGGCTTGATTTTTGCTCGCCCGCCCAGGTTGGCCGGTGCAGCGTGAACCGGGCGAGCCAGAGTTGCAGCGGTTTCCAGACAGGGGTGGCATCTGCGCCCTATGCTGCTCCAGGTTCGATCTCGGGGCCGTGCGCTTGGCGGTCAAGGAGGGCGGCATGGTGCAGCCCCAGAGGAGGCTCGGCGGCGAAATCCGAACCCAGCCTTCGCCGATCAACCATTCAAGCAATTCGATGGGCGGCGGGGATAGGGTTCGGAATTCGTCGAAGACGTGGCGAAATCCGGACCTCGCCCCCGCGCCCCCCATCCATTCAGTAGAATCGATGGTTCGTGGGGGTAGGCTTCGGACGTCGCCACTTGAGGCTAGTCTTCTCCTCCCGCGGGGAAATCCGGCATGGCTCGCCAGTCTACCTGGAGGGAGAGGCCACCCTCGAGAAGGACCCGCCCCCGGCGGCCTGGGCCGAGCGGGCCGAGGGGCGTCACCACTCGTTCGCGCCGGAGGCCAGGACAGCTGAGGTCATCGAGGAGGTGCACGTCGAGGAGCTGCCGCGAGAGTCGAAGCGAAGAAGAAACACCAGCTCGGCGGCGAAATCCGAACCCCTCCCCTCGCCGACAAACAGTTCGAGAAACTCGATGGGCGGCGGGGGTAGGGTTCGGAATGTGTCGAACATGTGACGAAGTCCGAGCCCTACATTCGCTTCCCATCGATTCAGTACAGTCGATGGTTCGTGGGGGTAGGCTTCGGATGTCGTCAGATACCAGCGTGAACATGAGATTCGGGGGTTCCGCGCGAATTTCTTGGATCTGCGCCGGGCACCCGTGGCGGCGCCTCCGGCGCCGCCCCTGGCGAGCTCCGCGCGCCAGGGAGGGGGGCCCAGCGACGATCCAAGGAATCCGCGCTTCGGCAGGAGCTGCTGCGAGAGAGGGATCTGCTGCGCAGCGAGTGGCAGAGTGCCAGGGCGCTGGAGGGCGCGGAGCCGGAGGCGCTCGGCAGCACGATCCGGCCGCGGCTGGAGCCACTGGCGCCGCCGCCACCCCTGCACGGCCTGGAGCTCGAGAACCACAGGAGCCTGCTTCGGCTGCTGCGCGAGGGGAGCGGCCTGCTCTACTCGGATGGCGAGCTGAGGGTCAGAGCCTCTGTGTCGCGGCCAGAAGCAGGCTGGCCGCCACTGCCGGGACTCTGGGCGTCTGTCGCGCTGTCTTTCAGGTTGCATGGCGGCAGCGCCCACAAAAGCGTCAGCGGGTGCTCCGTCGCCTCCGTGCACCTGGAGTGCAGCAACCTTGACGTGTCGTCACTGCACCTCGAGGTGGAGTGGCCCAGCGGCGCTGCCAGCAGGCGGGGCACTGCCAAGTGCATGGTGCACCTGGAGCTGCTGGACAGCGCGTTTGCCCACCCGAAGCTGAATGTCCGCGCTCAGCTGACCTCGGAGGCGATGGCCCACGCTTCCTTGCACTCCGTGGAGCACACGTGCAGCTTCGTGCTGCCAGTCGGCGTAACCACCTTCCTGAGGCCGCTTCCCCGCGGAGCCAGCTTCCAGTGCCTCTGGGACGCCGCGGGCCCCGCGGAGCTCGTGGCGCCGAGAAACCATCGACACATCCACCAATGATCCAACCTCCCCCTCGCGCCTCCCCCGTCCTCGTCCTCCATTAGAGGCCTATCCCCAGGGTCTCCTTCTCAGCCCGTTCGGCGTCTAGGCCCATTCGGCCGCCGAGTGGGCATGAGATTGAGCCCATGCGGCTGCCGAAAGAGCCAACTTTGCACCACCCTGTCGGGGTTGAGCCCGTTCGTTCAGCGGCCCATTCGGGGGCCGAATGGGCTCAGACGCCGAACGGGCCCAAATGGCCCCTATCAGGGGCCTAGCAGAGGGGAGGGGGAGGGGAACCGGGGGAAGGATCGGAGTCCTTGCCGCAGTGGGCCTCCCAGGCGCGCCGCAGCGTGCCGGCGCAGATTTGGCCGGAGCCGCTGGCACCGCAGGCGACGGTGGCCCTGCTGGGCGTCGCGGGGATCCTGAGCAGCTTTGAGCTACCTGGGGGCTCGCTGGGACTCGGCGGGGAGTTGCCAGCCCACGGCTGCGTCCACGAGCCGCGCTGGGTCCTGGTGCGGATATCGCGCAGGCAGCAGGCGCAGCCGCAGCAGCCGCAGCCGCAGCAGCAGCCGCAACCCCGCCCGCACCCGCAGCCCCGGGCGCCCCGCCAGACCATCGCCGCCCCACGCCGGATGAGCGTGGCACGGGCGCCCCGCCAGACCATTCGGTTGCACGTAAGAGTGGCCCTTCGCCAGAGTGGCCTTGGGTGCGCGGCTTGGGTGCGGGGGTGCCAAATCCAAGCATGCAGTCCGCTGCTATAGGATCGCATGCAGCGAGCGGCAAGCTGCGCACCACCTGTCACTCTCGCCTGGGGTCACTCCATGCGTGCAGCCGAACCGTATCTGTCCCTCCCCGCGACTGCTGGGACGCGCAGACGGAAGCGTCGTCCGCCATGGAGGGCAGCCAGGTGACCGACTGCGCCCGCGAGCCGTGGGAGCTGGAGGCGCGCTCGCTGGCGCCGCGGCTGGCGGACGCGCTTCTGGCGGAGCTCGCCTCGCAGCTGCTCTGCCCGCCAGATGGGGACGCGGCTGCGTGCGTCTGGTGAGGCGCCCGAGGCGCCGCCACGAGCACATACCCATGCCCGTGCCCTCGCGGTCTGGACGCCGAGGCGCGATCCCGCGGATGCGCGATCCCAGCGCTCCGCGCGGGGCATCCGCGGCAGCAGAAAGCCGCCCGGCACTCGCGGCGGGGCCGCGGCGCCGAGGAGCCTGGACCGCGAGGCGGCGGATCTGGACGGGCCTCCCGCCTGCGACCGCGGCCGTCGCACGGGGGACTCGGCGGCGTGCGCCTCCGCAGGCGGCCGCGCTCGGTCGCGAGGCGGGGGCCCCTCGGCGGGGGCGTGCCCGGCCGACGCCTGCGGGAAAAGTGAAGGCTCTGGGGAGGCGGAGGCCTCGGCACGTCGGCCGGCTCTCGCCCGCGGGTCGCCAGGAGCAGGGGCGGAGGCGTCCTCTGGGAGGTCTCCCGCAGGCCAGTGCCGCTCTTGCTCTGTGGCATCAGGACGGTTCGGCGCCGCACTTGTGCGCAGCACGCCGACCACGGCTGCCCCCCCCCCCCCTCCCAAGCTTCTCCGCCTCCTGGGAGGGTGCAGGGAGAACTTGCGGCGGAGGAGGAGGAGGAGGAGGAGGAGGAGGAGGAGGAGGAGGAGGAGGAGGAGGAGGAGGAGGAGGAGGAGGAGGAGGAGGAGGAGGAGAGGAGGGGAGGAGGAGGAGGAGGCGAGTCGGGAGGACAAGCAGAATGCGGAGGGAGGAGGAGGAGGAGGAGGAGGAGGAGGAGGAGGAGAGGAGGAGGAGGAGGAGGAGGAGGAGGAGGAGGAGGAGGAGGAGGAGGAGGAGGAGGAGGAGGAGGGGGAGCAGGAGAGGAGGGAGGAGGAGGAGGAGGAGGAGGAGGAGGAGGAGGAGGAAGGAGGAAGGGAAGGAGGAAGGAAGAAGGAGGAAGGAGGAAGGAGGAGGGAGGAGGGAGGAGGGAGGAGGAGGAGGAGAAGGAGGAGGAAGAGGAGGATGGAGGGGCGAAGGTGGATGAGGACGGTGTGATAACGGCGGCGGCGGCGAAGCAACGATGACGATTACGACGACGATCAGGAGGAGGAGGAGACGGATGATGATGATGATGAGGATGATGATGATGATGATGATGATGATGGTGATGATGCTGATGATGATGCTGATGATGATGTTGATGATGATGCTGATGATGATGTTGATGATGATGCTGATGATGGTAATGATGTTGATGATGAGTACGATTATGCTGCAGTTGTTGGTGAGGGCGATGACTTGTATGAGGACGACGACGACGACGGCGACGGCGACGACGACGACGATGGTGGTGATGGTGATGATGAGGATGATGGTGGTGGTGGCGATGATTGTATTGAGATGCTGCTGCTGATGGTGATGATAATGCTGTTGATGATGATGGTGATGACGGTGCTGATGAGCAGGATGACTAGCATGAGCTAGCGAGTGTGAGTAGCACGGGCATGAGCATGCGGATGATGACGATCTTGTGGATGACGATAATGACGATGATGACGATAACGTCGATGACGACGACGACGACAGCGACGACGACGACGGCGGCGACGATGATGATGATGATGATGATGATGTTGATGCTGATAATTGTGTTGTTGATGATGATAATGACGATGACGATGGTGGTGGCGATGATGAAGAGGATGAAGATGAAGCTGATGCTGCTGCTGATGATAATGCTGATGGCTACGATGGTGGTGGTGATGAGGATGATGGCAGTGAAGACGATGATGATGATGATGCTGATGCTGATGATGATAATGCTGACAATGCTGATGATGATGGTGATGGTGCTGCTGCTGCTTTTGATGAGGATGCTGATTATGATGATGTTGCTATTGTTGTTGGTGCAGACGAAGATGATGAGCATTCTGATTATGTTGTTGATGTTGCTGCTGCTGATGATGCATGTTAAGACGGAGACGAACATGACGATACATATAACGAGGAATACTGCTAGTATGATGATGATGTTGATTTTGATGATGATGGTGATAATGATAATGCTGATGACGATGATGACGATGATGATGATGATGATGATGATGATGATGATGATGATGATGATGATGATGATGATGATGATGATGTTGATGATGATGATGATGCTGAGAGTGCTGCTGCGGATGATGTTGATGACGATGATGCTGTTGATGATGATGATGCTGCTGATGACGATAATGATGATGAGTACTATGGTGATGATGATGGTGATGATGATGACGACGATGATAATAATGTCGGTTGTGGTGGTGGTGATGATGGTGGTGGTGGTGATGGTGATGGTGGTGGTGATGATGGCAATAAGGCCGATGATGCCGTTGCGGTTGACGACGAATATTGTACATGGTCAGGGGGTCAAGGAGGACGAACATGAAGAGGAAGAACCTGAGAAGACATAAGACACGACTTGGCGAAGGATGATGAGGACGAGTAAGCATGACGAGGATACGCATGATGAGGGATGACGAGAAGTATAGGGAGGTGGTGGAAAAGGAGAAGGAAGAGGATAGGATGAGGATTCGGGGAAGGAGGATGATGGGGAAGAGCCAGGGCGGAGCCAGAGGCTGTGGTAGAGGAGGGAAAGAACGCGTTTTGTGGTCGCTTGAGGGTTTGGGGGGAGATTGTAAACCAGGGCGCTCCTTTTTATGAAATATCACGCACGTCGGGAAACCGAGAGGGGAGGGTCCACCCCCCTCCCCTCCTCCCTCGCGGGCAACGGGGGGGTCAAACCCTTCCCCGCGCCGACGAACGACGACGACGACGACGACGAGGACGTCGACGACGACGACGATGACGACGACGACGACGACGACGTGTTCCGCCCGCCCGCCCGACACAGCCGACCCCGAGTTCATGCCCACTGACGGTGATGTTGGGCATCCGCGTGCTGATAGTGGCTGTGTTCTTTCAGGCGAATCTGCTCCCCGGATGCCATCATCATCAGTTATTGTATCTCCTCTTGGGAACGTTCCTGAAGCCATTGACGGGGAAGAGGCGGAGCGTGCTCGACCGTTTCCTCGTGCCTGTGGGTCTTGGCGGCACGAGAGTGGGACTTTCAAGATCGTCGAGGCGCACGGAAGGATCTTTTCATGACATGCCCACTTGAGGTGGGCTGCAGTTTCTAGCAAAATGAGGCGTGACCGATTTTGGGCGCCGCGTAATGGGGGGGTCATAAATGGGGGGGGGGCGGCGAGGGTGGTCCGAAAAGGTACCCAAACGGTACCTAAACGAGCCCCCTGGGGCTCTGGAGGGGCCCGAAAGGGGCACGGAAGGGGACCTTTTCTGACCCCCCATTTGTGACCCCCCCATTAAGCCACGCCCAACGACTGCGCTTCCGAAGGACAGGTTAGGCTGAAGTTATGTTTTACTTCTCGTACATGGCGAACGTTTATTATGAGCGGTAGCCCCGCTGGGTTTCGGGGGCCATCGGTCGCTTCTTCGGCCTCCCCCGCTCCTTCTCTTGCCTTCCCTCCTTCCTCCCGAAGATCGAGGTGAGGGTCGCTTCGGTCGCGTCGATCGCGCCGCTCGACGAGCTTTCATGGCTCGCGAGGCGGCAGGGGAAAATTGCGGGCGCGCGCGCGCCTCCTCCTTTTTCCCGAGGTCGCCGTCAGCTTATAGCATGCCGCTATACACTGCCTTTTCAAGGGAGCTCCGCCGCCTTCAGAGGCGAGCCGAGGCCCATTCGACTGAGGAGGTGTTTTGCTCAGAGGCCGTTCTACCCCCAAATCCATAAGCATTCGTGGGAGACGGACTGCAGCTTTTCTCAATGTCTGATCATTGGAGAAGCTGAGTGGTCCAATGATATCGTTGCCCGACCTGTGGGGCTGCCTGTGCTGCTCGATCATGATGACGTACCACGCCGGCGTGTTGTTTTTTTGGCTTGCGGGCGACGTGCTTTTCGACGGATATTGGGAATGACATGGCGATATATGAGTTGTATTAGCCGCTCACATCGTTTAGGGATGTTACGTCTACATCACCGAAGACGAGTGCATAGGCAAGATTGGAGAGGTGGTTCAGACCCAGGGCGACAAGCTCACCGTCAGGATCTTCCACACAGGTGAGACAGTCGCGCCAGGTTCGAGTGCTGCATGAGAGGCCAGGGACCCATCCAGCACGCAACATATGGATAGTTGGTTGGTGGAGCGTGCAGCGGCATGTGAATAACGATGATTTGCTCATGATGTTGATCGTGAAGTGTGTTGGGTGGCATTTTCAGCTCATGTTTGAGGTTGTCCCAGTTGCACCATGGAGAGGTAATTCGAGCTCATACCAGACGCTGTCATGGATGTGCCTTGGGTGGTATTTCGCGTTTTCGCCTGAGGTTGGCACGTGTGCGTTTTGGCTGGCACCTCGCGTGCCAGCCAGAGTCAATCGCTTTGCCGCTCGTCGTACCACGTACCCCCTGTACGCCCTCGGGGTGCTTGTGGTCGCCCGCGCGGAGGTGCACGTCTGCCTCCACTTGTTCATCGGATACGCGGCGGGATTACTCCGCCTTGTGCGCGCCCACCGCCGAATTTTAGGGGGGGGCGCGGGTGGAACAATTGTTCATCCTCCCCCTCCTCCTCAAAATCCTCCCTCCTAATCCCCCTCCCCCTTGTTTTCTCGGACCCCCCTGGGGCGTTTTCTGGCCAGCATTTCGAAGCGGATGCAGCCATGGCCGTCTTCCGCCTCTCTCGCCTTTTCCGTGCCGCGCCCGTCCCGGCTCCACTCAGGCCGCTTCTGCCCGCCATGGCCGCCGCGGCGTGAGGGCGAAGGGGGCGGGGGCCGTAGCGCGGGCGCAGCCCCGCCGCCATGGGCCCCGAAGACCCCGCTGGCCTCGAGAGCGCGCCCGAGGACTTGCGACGGGCCAGAATCACCGTCGTCGTCGTTGTCGGCGGCGGCGGCGTCGTCCTCCACCACCTCCACATCTAATATGCCCCCTCTCCATTCCTCACTCTCCTCCTCTTCCTCCTGTTCCTCCTTTCCCTCCAGAGCAGGTCCAGCAACCGGCAGCAGTTGTCGTCATGACGCAAATCATTGGCGCCCTCGTCGTTTGACGCTTAACACCATAGGATCAAAAGTCATAGTACGAACCTGAGCACATGTTTGCCGCATTTGGTATCAACGGTTGGACGCAGATCAAAATCAGGATGGATCCCAAGAGGAATCAATGATAAATGTTGAGCAAATTTGGTGCAGAGTCAAAGGTTCAAGTGCTCCCCATGGAATTTTGGTATATCACCCCAGGAAGATCCAGGTTCAAGGTTTTTGGGCGGCTGTGGGGCCTATGGCTGTTGTCAGGACTTGAAGATGTTGAGACAAATGATTTCCAGCACGCCGAGTAAAAACATGTAAACAGAAAACAATATCCCAGGTATTAATTCAGATCAACGAAGTCCGTGATGGTGAGGATTAGGAGGATGTGTTGGATGATGCTGACGATGACGATGACGACGACGATGATGACGACGACGACGATGACGATGACAACGGTTATGATGATGGTAGTGATCATGATGCTGATGCTGATGTTGATGCTGATGCTGCTGCTGATGGTGAAACTTGTTTGGGCCGTCTTGGGGCTGTCTTGGCATCCTGTGAGGCAGTCTTGGGGGTCCCTGGGGCCCTCTTGGGGCATCTTGGGGTCCTCTGACGCTGGCTTGGGGCTCTCTTGGGCCATCTTGGGGCCCTCTTGGCTGCATGGTGGGTGCCTGGGGGCCGTCGTGGGGCCGCCTTGTCGCCATCTTGGGCCGTCGAAGACCTTCTAAGACCGTCTAGGCGCCCACGGGAGGCCCTCTTGGGCCGTCTTCGGGCAGTCTTGAATGTCTCTAGGGCTCTCGTGGAGTCCTCCAGGGCCGTCTTCAGCTGACGGCAACCCGAAAAGGCGAGAATGCGAAACTCATTCAAACACCCGAGTGAAATCAATGAGTTTGGCGTCTTCGGACCCTGTTGGAGGGTCCTCTTGTGGCCCTTTTGCTATTGGGCCCTCTTGGAGGCATCTTGGGCCGTCTTAAATGCATATTCTGCCGCCGTGGGGCAATCTTGGGCCGTCTTCGAGGCATTTTGGGCCATTTGGTGTCCTTGGTTGCCTTCACGGGCCGTCTTGGAAGCTCGGGGCGCGTCCATAGTTGTTTAACGAGGGATCGTTGCTTGGGAGGGCTTGGAGCAGTGCCTGAGAATGCGGGAAGTGCACGGTGCGCGTGGGATGAGGGGTCCAGGAGTTAGCAGTCATGCAGGAAGTGCACAGTCCCATCGGGACGACCGTCGGAACAACCATCGGAACAGCCGTCGGGACAGCCATCGGGACAACCAGCGGGACAACCAGCGGGACAGCTGGCGGGACAACAATTGGGGCAGCCATCGCGATATCCATCGAGACCACCATCGGGACAAGTTTCACACCATCGAGTCCACCATCGAGACCACCACCGAGTCCGCGTCTGGGGCGTTCCTCGTTTGTTTGTCTGAGGTTGATAGACCTCCTACCCTGACGCGTCGATTAGCGAATTGGCCGTTTTCGGTTCGCGAGAGGGCGTCGCGGCCGTCACTTTTGCGGGTCCAGGTCTTTCGGTTTCGGTCCCAGGCCGTTTTCACTAAAGGGTGGTTTACTAAAGGGAGGTGTGTCCACCGCCGAGTTTGATCAGGCCCCTGCCAGAACAGGAGTTTGCGCAGCTTCGCCTCGCCTCGCCCGCTCGCGCGACACGAGCGGAACGGAGCGACTTCCCGCTTGGGGCACCTCACGTCTCGCTCTGGTCTCACCCCGCAGCCTCCGATCAACGACACGCCGCAGTGGGGAACTCGGCGTGTTACCCTGAAGAAACGCCCGGTGTCCGGACAGATCCAGGGCCCGGTTTCTCCAGGACTCGGGTCCATCATGCCAGTCTCCTCCCTGGCTTTCCTCTTCCCTCGCCTCTCCCTCGATCCACCCCTCCTCGCTTTTCTCTTAGTTTCGGGGGGCTCTCCCTTGCCGCCGCTGCCAGACGTTTGTCGAGGAGTTGGCCAGGAGGAGCCTGGTTCGGGAGAGGAGAATGACGAGCACTAGAAAGCACAAACATGGATTTCGGCGCGTGGATTATCTGTGGGTCCCGCTTCCTTGCAAAAACAGAAGTTCAACGTCGACAAATCAGGCGGCATTGGCTTCATCGTTTGGGAGGGGAGGCATCGATTGACTAACCGCTTTGATTTCTTTCCCCAGGCACCCACGTGCCATATCCACGGATATATGATCCATGTCAGCGTGTGTTTGAGGAGGATGACCTTGATGATGATGATGATGATGATGATGATGATGATGATGATGATGATGATGATGATGATGATGATGATGATGATGGTGGTGGTGGTGGTGGTGGTGGTGGTGGTGGTGGTGATAATGATGATGATGATGAGGACGAGGAGGAGGAGGAGGAGGATGAGGAGGAGGAGGGGGGGGACCCGTTTCCTTCACATGCTGGAAGCATTCTCGGATACAGCAGGCAAACCAAGTACAACGTTGATTTGCCAACGGGTGCCCCAGGATAATTCTTATCTCCCGATGGGTCCGCATGGCCCCTGGGCACCTCACGGAGCGCAGAGTCGACGAAGGATCCGGCACTAAGTTTATTGCAGTACGATGTATGATCGTATGTGCCTACTGTATCTGGCGTCTCGTCCCCAGCGGAAGTCCGGGCCACCATGGACGGGGACTGAGGGATTTTGATGAGCTAGGACACTGGCGCGCGCGACAAATCTGTAGGTGTGCATCGAAACGTTCTCCATTGTTCGTTCTCTCAAGGTTGAACATTCACAGTCCTGGTTGGCGAAGGGCAAAAATATTCCAAGAGATGCAGGCCGTTTTGGATCCAGGGTCTCTTCAGACTCCGCCACATGCTGTCAGCACATTTCGGCATCCAGGGTTTCTGGAGCCCGTGGAGATGTGTCCCCCCACGTCCTCCTCGGGGGCGTATAGGATGGGGTTGACGACAAGGAGGGGCGGACATTATGCCGGGGGCCATGATGCCTCCTCGATCTCATGGCCCCTCCTTCCTCTCTCAGCACATCCTCTGGCCCCCATTCATCCGCGCATGTGCCTCGAGCCATGATGCGCATGCCCCCGCTCTACCCTGACATCCGCCGATGCGTGTTTTTCCGATCCGCGGCCCCAGAGCTCCCGACCGCTTCCCTTGGGGTATTATCTCGAGTGTCTCTCGTCCCTGACCGCTGCCCGGTGGCCCCGGGCCCCGAAGACGGCCCCCGAGGTCCGAGGCCGAGGAGAAAGGCCCGCCGGTGGAACAGACCACCTCGCAGGAGACTCGGCTTCCCAGCCTCCCCCCCCCCCCCCCGGAACACCAACAACACCAACATACCAACATGTAAGGCACGCATTATCCTGAGCGAGCCTCCGACGCGCGCTGTCTCTCATGCCAGGCCATGGCCTCGCCCGCCCCCCTTCGGCGCATGCCCGCACAGGCGATCCGATCCGATCCGATCCGACCCCCCGCCCCTTCGGCTTCGGCACACCCGCCCCCCCCCCCCCCCCGCCGGCCCCGAGCGCGGCGGCGCACCGCCGAGAGGACACGCGCGTGACCGTGGCCATCCGCCGCGGTCGCCTGGGCCGCCCGGCCCTCCCGCCCCCCCCCCCCTCGGGGGGCGCAGGCCCGGGGGCAGCTGCACGCAATTGAGTGACCGTTCGCCGGAGTGGCTTCTGCTGCGGGCGCATCGGGGTCCGCCCGATCAAGGAGTTTGCTGCGTTCGCGGTTGCGTGTGCGCTCGTCTGCGGCAGCTTTGCGCCCCCCCCAGTCCGCGCACCGAAGGCCACTCTCGCCAAGGGTCACTCTTGCGTGTAGCCGACAGGGGCGCCACAGCTCCAGGCCCCCAAGATGGTGTCCGAGCAGGTGGGGTCGAAGGGTCGCTCCACATCGCCGGTGCATCGGCGATGCGGCTCGAGGCGGAGCCCGATGTTCTCCGCGTCGTCGTCGCCGATGCCTCGCCGACGTCACCGATGCATCGCTGATGCACCGCCGATGTGTCGTCGATGCGGCGCGATCCTCCGACCCCATCTGCTCGGACCCCATTTGGGAGGCTTCCAGGGTCGCCACGGCGGAAGGAGCCTGCCACGGCTCGGTACGATCGGTTTTCGACAACCTCTATGGTTCGGCACATTGCGCATTTCTTCCGTACCCATTTCGGGCGTCCTAAATTGCCTTCAGGGGGGGCAGCGAGGCCTAATACAGCAGTGTTTTGCCGACGAGGGCAAAATTTTGAAGGCAGCCATCTCAAGGCACATAATTCTGCCTTCGCGCACTCGTGCTCTGTGCTTTTTTGTTTGCCTTCAGGGGGGTAGGCGTAGGACCGTGTGCTTAGCGTGTCGCGCCGCTGGTTCTGGCCCACCACGCTCCGCGGCACGCTAAGCACAGTCCCAGTTCCCAAACATCAACGTTCCGTTCGGCGCGACACGTAGGCTTCAGGTTTTCGCCTGTAGGCCGCGTTGCGTCGCTGAGCTTCGAAGGTGGGAAGCCAGGGGAGTGTTGGATGAAGTTGCTTTGGATTTGGCAGAGCGTGGTATGGAGAGGCCACGGGGGCCCAAGGAAAGACCACGCGTCCCTTCTCTTGCAGGGAGCTCAGACAGTGTCAAAGGAAGTCACCACTAAGACGATCGCCAGCTCCTTCTGAGGATCGGGTTTTGAAGATCAAAGGCCGGGGAGACTCTGGAAGATTTGGAACGTTCTGGGGTGCTTTGTGGATCATGTGGGGCTCGCCCTTCTCGATGAGGTGACAACCCTCTTAGCGGTGACAGCCCTTGGCATTGCCTGGGGAGCCTCTGGGGGAGGGCGGGAACGAGAGGAGGAGGGAACGAAGCTCGAACAGATCTGCGAACGATAGCTGCTGCAGGTCGTCAGTTTTCGCAATGATGTTGGCCTCTCGAGGGCTTCCCTGGAGCTCTTGGAGGACTCTTGGAGGCCTCTTGGCACAATCTTGGGTGCTATTGGGGGCCTCCAGAGCCAACTTGAAAAAAACAAAATTATCTCGCATATTTTTCAAGTTCGTCCATTCACCTCTGTTCTCTCCTGTCCCAGTCTTTGGCGTGCCCCAGAGTGCGTTTCCGTTTCCCACATCATTCGTTGTCCGTTCCTTTTGTTCTCTCACTCTCTCTCTCTCTCTCACTCTTGCGTTTGGTTCTCTTCCGTCCCCCGTTCCACATCCTTCTCCTCCCTCCTCCCCGCAGCGTTATTTTCTCTCCTCACTCTTCCTCGACTCTCCTTCACACCTTCCTCTCTCCGCCTCCCCCATGCGTTTCCGCCTCCCTCATCCTTCATCCTCATCTCTCCATTGCTCCTTCTTCCCTCCGCCCGCCTCACCCATCATCCTGCCCCACTAAGTGGTAGAAGGCCCAGCTCGAAAAAGTTGAACTCCCTCAAAGCTGTTTTTGTTGCAGGCCGACACCACTCGACATTTCGAGCCCAGACGCCACGAGGCCCTGGGAGGCCCCCGAGGCGCGCCCAAGAAGCCCCACAAGACCACCAGGATACCCCCACCAAAGACCGAATAGACCCCATCCCCAGAACCCCCCCAAGAGCCCTCCAAGAACGTCCCCCAACGGCATCCAAAGAGACTCCCAGGATGGTTTTCCGAGGCTGTTGGGAGTTCTCGGGCGTCCCCCCAAAGGCTACCCTGGGTCCTCTACGTGGCTGCCTTGCGCGCCTTCCTGGGGCCTTCTGGGCGCTGCCCAGAAAACAGCATGGGGGAATCGCCCTGCACGCATGCCTTTGGCGCGAAGTCGTGCTGGACGTCGTCTCCATTAGAAGAGTGATCCGTGTCATGTGTCTGATACCGTATGTCGTGCAACATCCTAACGCTTCTCAGCAAGGTGCAGTACGACCTAAGGGATCCCAAGGCCGCGCCCGATACGGCTTCGACTGAACTTGGCAACCAGTGGATGGTTTGAGTTGCCCCATATCATTGGTCCCCGGGGTTTCCAAGGGACCTCCCAAACACCTCCGAGATAGTCCGAAGGGCAATCCAGACGCTCAGAATATCTTCAAGACCACGAAAGACGGTCCGCAGGTCATGAGCCCCCCTAGGCCTCCCACAGGTTGCCTTCGGGCAGTTGCTCGGTGTATCTGCTCAGGGCAGCAGGATCTCTGAGGGCCTGCTTATTCAACGACTCCTGAAGCGTTCATCAGGGAGTACGCTCCCAGATGGTGATCATTGCGAGATGTTGTCTATCCCCATCCAGTCCGGTAAGTTGACTTGTACTGCGCTAGACTTAAGCGCCCGCGCGAAGCGCGCGCGCGTGGTTCCAGTTTCTTTAGTATATGTTTCTCCCCTGTCTCATATTGAAGATATAAGCATCGAGCAGTTTTTAGCCCGAATAGTTTCACGCGGGCGCTTTCCTGCGCCCTCCCCTTTCGTCTGTTCCCTCTTGTACAAGAGGGATGATGAGCTTTACCCCAACTGACTACCCATATGTTGAAACACGCTGTTCTCGCTAATTAGTGTCCGAGTACTGCTAGACACTGATTAGTCTGTGACTCACACGGCTGATTAGAAAAAATAGGACCCTCAAGGTACGGTCGAGGGGGCCCAAACCCAGGGCGCTTTTCGCTTCCTCCGGATCGATGTGATTCGATTTCGATCGATTCCGATTCCGATTCAATTCAATTTCGGATTCTGGTTTGGGCTTCGGCTTCCCAATGGGGGCCTTACTTGCCAGCCGATTTCCGCCGATCCGATTCATTTCGATCGGGGCACACCTGACGGATCCGTTCGACTCCAGTTCGACTGTAGTTTGGTTCCAGCTCGACTCAAGTTCGACTCACATTCGATTCAGGTCGACGGACGTTCGACGCAGCACCGACGCATGAGTGGAGTGACTGGCTCTGGGTAGATCCCAGGAGCGAATACCTAATCTGCATCTTTGCCCCTCAGCTCACTTGAGCCCTTGGCCCTGAGCCATGGGCCACGGGTTTCCAACATCGGCGTCGATTTCGGGGTCCACGGGCTTTGCATCCTTACAGCGCATCCTTATGATTCGATCGCGCTGTACCCGATAGCCTTCCCAGGTACGGTCAGCAATCGCGGCAGAGTGATTTCTGGCAGTTTCTATCGATTGTCCCTCTGGCTTGGGGGCGCCTGTTTACGGTAGGTTCGCGCCGCGTCGACGCGGCGGCGACCCCCGCGCGGGCGCCAAAGGTTAAATGCCGCCAGCGGCGCAGAGTTGGCCGACATCGAACGGCATGCGCTGTCAGACAGCCGCCCCCCTTCGAGGTTGAGCGATCCTCGCAGTGTCAGCAACCAATTTCGCCGCCATCGCGTCGTGAGCTGGCCGTGGTTGCTTGTGGGGCCCATGGCCTTTCGGGTGGCCGAGCCGACCGCGGAGCTGTCAGGCTGAGGCCCCCAGCGGAGAACCAGGATGAGGAGGCGAAGGAGATGTACCGGCTGACTCCCACGACAGTCACGGTGCGCGATCCGCTGTCAAAGGGCAGGAGCCCAGAGGACAAGAGCGCACCGATGCCGATGCCCTGCGCCCCGGGCCTCCCCGGCGCCCTCGCTGCCGCGGCCGGACCCGCCCCCGGAGTCCTGGAGGGAGGGCGCCCCAGGAGAGGTCTGGGGACCTTCGGCGGCGCCCACAGCGGGGTAGCGTGAGGCGGCGGCCTCGCAAAAGCACGGCGGGCTCCCCAGAAGGAAGCTGGCTTCCTCAGAAGGGCCTGGAGGCTCCCAGGTCCCAGGCGGGCTTCTGGGGAGCAGGGATGGCCTCCAAGACCCCTGCTGCCTGCTTATGAGAAGCCCGCCTCCTTTCGAATGCCGCTCCCTCGCGCTACCCCCGTGTGGACGCCGCCATAAGTACGCAGCGACGTCGGTATCTCCCCCCCCAGGAGCGAGAGCACGTTCACGTTCAGTAGGGTCCTGCTGCCAGAGCACGGGCAGGAGGCCGTCCAGGACTGGATCGCCAGGCCGCTGGTAGACCAGGTCCTGAGGGGTTACAACGCCTGCTGCTTCGCATACGTCGAAGAAGAAACCATTTCACAAAGATAAGCTTTCGAACGTCCCCGCGCAGATTTCTGGGAGGTTCGCGCTGGGACTTCCCTGGCCGCGCCTCTGGCGCCGCCCCTGGCGCGCTCCGCGCGCCAGGGAGGGTGGGCTCTTCGCCAATCCTCCAAGAAACCTGCTGGGACATTCGAACATATATGTTTGCTCAGTGTTTCTTCTTCCTCTAATACGGCCAGACTGGCTCTGGGAAGACCCACTCGGTGTTTGGCGAGCCCAACACCGCCCAGCGGGGCATGCTCCCGCGGTCGCTGGAGTACCTCTTCCAGACGGTCGAGCGGCAGGCGGACTTCAAGGAGGTGGGCATGGTGGTCAGCTTCGTCGAGATCTACCTCAACCAGGTGCGGGACCTGGGGTGCTTCTCCGCGGACCGCTCCTCCAGCTCCGGCTGCGGCGACCCCGTCCCGTCCGGGCTGGCGGCGTACACCGCGGCGGCGGCCGCCGCCGCCAGCGGCGGGCCCCACGGCAGGCGCCGGTCGGCGTGTGTGAGCGGGCGCTGGAGCAGCAAGGGCTCCGACCTCTCCCCGAAGCGCCCGGGCTCCCCGAAGAAATGTTCGACGCGCGACGACATGGACCCGGCGGACCCCTACATGACGCAGGATCTGGCGATACACGAGTCCCCGAACGGCCAGGTCTACATAGAGGACCTCTCGCTTATCCCAGTCACCTGCACGCAGGACGCGCTTGACGTTGTGAGCCTCGGCCTGAAGATGCGCGCCACGTACGAGACGAAGCTGAACACGTCGAGTTCCAGGTCGCACGCCATCTTCACGGTCAGCATCGCCCAGAAGTCACGGAGCGGCTCCAAGACTGGAGTGGTCGGGAGCATGCTGAACTTCATCGACCTGGCGGGCTCGGAGAGGCTGGCGCGCAGCCAGTCCGAGGGTCGTCGGTTCCAGGAGGCCGTGCTGATCAACTCCTCGCTCACAGCCTTGGGGAAGGTGGTCCTGGCCATCGCCGGCGGTGGCGCTCGGCACGTGCCGTACCGAGACTCGAAGCTGACGCGCATACTCGAAGGACGAACAAGAATACGAACATAAACCGTCAGAAGTCCGCGCGAATTTCGCGGGTCGGCGCTGACACCCCCTGGCGGCGCCTCCAGCGCCGTTCCTGGCGCGCGGCGCGCGTCCAGGAGGGGGGCCCAGCGCCGGCTCAGGAAATCCGCGCGGACCTCCGAGAGTTACGTTTCATAACGATGTTTCTCCTTCTGCGTACTGCAGAACTCGTTGGGCGGCAGCGCCTACACGACGCTGCTCACGACAATCAACCCCTCCCCGAGCAACTACCAGGAGTCCATGAATTCTTTGCTGTTTGCCGACCGCTGCAAGAGCGTCACGAACCGGCCTACGCAGAACTTTATCGACCTGGAGCAAGGTAGCAACGAGAGGCTCATCCAGCAGCTCCTCCAAGAGATCGTGGAGCTCAAGGGCAGGGTGTCCATGTCACACGTGCTCCCCCCAGCAGACGGCCAGCCTGGGGCGCTGGATCTGACCCAGCCGCTCGACCAGACTCAGCCGCTGGACCAGGCCCAGCTCGCGGCGATCCAGGAGGTGCAGAGCTCCGCCTCTGCGGCCAGCGCGGCCTCAGTCCAGGCAGGCCCGGGGACGAGGAGTGACTTGCTCTCAGAGCGTGCCGTCACGTTCTGGGCACCGGCTGCGACGCCCGATGCGCTGGGTCACCCAGGGGGGCGCGCAGGCAAGCGCACTCCGCACGCCGCGGTCTGGGCCAGAGCGGCCGCCCCTCTCCAAGGGGGGGCCGCGCGAGGGCGCCGGGGTGCCAAGCTCACAGCGCATCGCGGATCGCGGGGCGCGAGGCGCGAAGCCAGGTGATTCCAGACCCGCTGGCTCTCAGGGATTCCAGATCTGTCTTCGGCTGCATTCGTCCTCATTCCGCCATTCTCTTGGACTCAGTGGGCAGTGGGCGACTGGCGACTCAGGACTGAGCCCCTATCTTGCCTTCTGCGCTGATTTCATGGTCAGCGTTCGGTCCATTACGTCCTCTGGCCTCGGCCGTTGCGAAGTGCAGACGTCATCTGTTTCTTATTCCTTACTCCTGGTTCAGGCCGACGATCTGATTCATTAAATGCTCGGCCCCAAACGTCCCGACCACTTCCCGGGGTTAGTTTGCCGATGTGGAGTTGCTTCTGATTGTCCCGGGGCCGAGATCGATGGAAAAACCCGGTTGAAACAAACAGTGCCTTGGATCGGAGGTCTGGGGCCGGATTCGTCCTCAACCATCCTTCCTCTTGTACTCAGGCCGCCCCGGCCCCGCCCTCCCCGAGGGCGCGCCCACGACGGCCAGCACCGCTCCCCTCGGCGCCACCCTCGGCGCGACGCAGAAGCTGCCCAGCGGGCCGTCTGGCACAGTGGGCAAGATGGACCTGTTCCGACTGGAAGAGCAGGGCCGCGCGCAGCTGAAAGTCGAGCGGGCAAGTCATGCGAACTTGCGGCTACATATGCACCAATCATCGTTAGAGCACACTCGCATGTATGCATACATCACGCATCTGTAATATTTACATTTGTACGGAAACATAGATATGTACAACATGTACGTGCAAATCTAAGTATACACGTATGTGTACACATGTCTATTATTCCATTATTTGTTGTGTACATCTGTAGACAGAGAGGGAGCGAGAGAGAGAGAGAGAGAGAGAAAGAGATGGGCCTCTGCACAACCATGGGGAGGCGGAGGAGGTGGAGGAAGTGGAGGAGGAGGAGGAGGACGAGAAGAAGGCACGGGGACCCGAGGCAGCTTCAAGCCCTTGTGCCGGGCTTGACCGTCCAACTCACTGACGGTCAGGCTCGCTCCCCAACCCTCCCTCTTCGTGCCCAGGTCCCAGAGGCCAGGGCATCCCCCAGCCGCGGCCGCGCAAGCCGTCTCAGGCACCCTCGAACCAGAGCGGCTTGAGCCAAAATGGTTACGGACACACACACACAAAAACACACAAACACGGACAAGCACACAAACACACACAAGCACATACAAACACACACATACACACAAACACACACACAAACACAAGCACACACAAACACACACAAACACACAAACACACACAAACACATAGCACACACGAAGACACACACACAAACACACAAACACACACACAACCACACACAAGCACACACAAACACACAAACACACAACCACACACGAACACACAATCACACAACGACACACTCAAGCGCACACGCACACAAACGCACACAAACACAAACACACAAACACACAAAAACACACAAACACACAAACACACAAGCACACACAAATACACACAAACCCACGACACACAAACACACAAATACACAAACACACACAGAAAGACACACAAACACACACACAAACACACACACAAACACACAAGCACACACACAAACACACAAGCATACTACACAAACGCACACAAACACAAACACACAAACGCACACAAACACACACAAACACACACAAACACACACACAAACACACACAAACGCACACACACACACAAACACAATTTGTTTTGCGTCGGCGGCTGGGCAGAGGTCGACTGCTCCGACAGAATGGCAACAGGGGACACGCTGTATGCAAATTAAGGCCGCACTTCACTGGAGGAGGAGGAGGAGGAGCCCCGGCGCGACGGGGGCAGAGGAAGCCGGGCCTTTCAGAGCTGCCGGCGGCAGCATGAGACAGCGCCGTGGGGGGGGCCAGCGCCAGCACAGGCTGTACTGAACTGCGCTGAGCTGAAGCTGGGGGGGCAGCCGGGAGCTGCAGCTGGCGGTGAAGATAGAACGAAGCGTGTCCCAACCCTGGCCCGAGCACAGCCCAGGGAGAGGCTGGAGCACCGAGGCCGGCGGGCCTGCGAAGTCAAGCGGGCCAGCCTCAGCAGCAGGCGCTGCGCCGCGGGCACGAGGGGGCTGAGGCGGGGCGGCACAGAGCGCAGGGAGGCGGAAGCAGAGGGCGAGAAACCCTGAGCCGGGCAGAGAGGGGCACTGGAGGGGGCGGCGCCCAACCCAGCGGACCGAGGCCAGGGCCAGAGAGAAAGCGAAGCGCTGAGACCGGTGGGCCTGCGAGGCGCAACCGCGGGGGCGACGGCCTGGGAGGCAAGCACACACAAACACACAAACACACGCAAACACAAACAATTATGTACACAAACAGACACACAAAAACACATACACACAAACACACACATGCAACACACCCAACACACAAACACACAACCACAAACACAAACACAGACAAGCACACACAAACACACAAAAACACATACACATACACACATACACACATACACCTATGCACACACATACACGCATACACATACACACACCTACACACCTACACACCTACACACCTACACACCTACACACATACCCATATACTCACATACACACATACACACATACACACATAATCACATACACATACACACATACACACATACACACAAACACACATACACGCATACACGCATACACAATTACACACATACACACATACACATACATATATACACATACCTATACGACCACCCTTCGTGTGATAAAGAGGTTCGGTGGGGGGGAGAAACCAACGTCTCACTCAATCGGTTGCACTATCGATCTCACTATCGATCTCACTATCGGTCTCGCTCGATCGATCTCACTCGATCGATATCACAACCGATCTCACTCGATCTATTTCATTCGATCGATCTCACAATCGATCTTATTATCGATCTCGCTATCGATCTCACTATCGATCTCAGAATCGATCTCACATTCAGTTTCACTATCGATCTCATTATCGATATCACACGATCTCACAATCAACGTCATCATCATCATAATCAACATCATCGTCATTATGCTGCCCGCGGCTATTTGTGGCTCTCTTTCGGGCCGCGCTTCCATTCTCAAGTCTCTCAGGTGTCTTGCCCAGGGATGCAAGACATCGCCCACCATGCGGCGGACGTCCTGAGGTACGGGGCGCAGGCGCTGGGGGCCACTGTCGTGGCGCGGGCCGCTGCGCCGAGCTGCGGGGCCTGCTCACCGCAGCTGGCCTGCCCCGCGCCTCCGACCCTCTCCTGCCCCGCCTGCGTCTGCGCTGGCGCGGGCGGGCACGTGGTCGAGCCCTCGTGTCTGGGCCTCGTCACGGCCTACTCGGTGGCCGCGCTGACCATCGGCCTCGCTCTCGGGGCCGTGGGAGGCGCCTGGGCGGCGCGGCGGCTTCTCGGACAGTCGGCCCGCCAGCCGCCCGCCGTGGTGGAGTTCGTGGACGGCATCGACATCGCCGCCCTCGCGGCTCAGCAGGTCCGTGACGCCAGGGCCCGCGCCCCTGCGCTGCAGTGATGGCGGGCAGTTTCCACGTGGTGCGCTACCGCGTCGGCGGCGTACCCCTGTGGCACGAGCGCCTCGTGCTTGGCGTCAACGGGGGCCTCGGCTACATCCTCACGCCCGACTTCGACGACTACGGCGAGCCCATCGTCGTCGGCCCCGGCGTGCGAGCGGTCCTGCAGCTCGCGGGCCAAGGCGACACGCCGCCAGCGCTGGCGGGCGTCGCGGTGCACCGCTTCCGCCGCCTTCCGACGGCCGCGGAGCTGTGGGCGGCTGTCGCGCGCTCGGTGGCCGCAGGCTACCCGAGGCCCCCCGACCCTCTGCCGCTGGCGCTCGCGGCGGGCAACGTGGCAGGCGTCCCGCCTGGTCCCTTCCCGCTGGCGGACCCTGCAGCTGCCGCAGCCCTGCCGCCTGCGGCCCTGCCGCCACCTCCTGGCGGGGAAGGGGCGGCGCCGCCTGCGGGGGCCGCGGCCCCGCTGGCGATGCCCCCCGCGGCCGCGGCCGCTGCGGCGGCCCCTCTCGGCGTCGCCCCTGGCGTCGCTGCGCTGGCCGCCGCGCTGGGAGCCGTCCCGCCTGGGCCTGCGGGGGCTCTGCCGCTGGTGCCCGCACCTGCAGTGGAGGCTGCGCCCGCCGCCGCCGCCCCTGGGGCGCCTGCCCCCGTTGGCGACTTCAGGGTCCTCCCGATGCTGCTTAACCCGAGGGGCGAGCGCGAGAGGAGGTTCGGAGAGACCGTCAACGCCCTCTCGGAGACCCCTGTGCAGGGTTGGCCCGTGCAAGGGCCGAGGACCCTCCTCTGGTGTTTGTCCTTCATGTCGACGATGGCGGGTACGCCCACCGCGTGGCACCAGAGGTGGCTCACGTCGATGGCCCTGCCCGACGAGGACGAGCACGCCAAACTGCACGAGACGCTCTGCCGCGTCCTGGACCTCGCCGTCGTGTACGATCAGCTGCAGATCGCCGAGATGGCATCGTTCGAGATCATCGCTCGCCAGCTCCAGCTCTCGGAGGAGCGGGTGTACGAGGCGCGTTCGCCACCTCCGAGTGGCGCCGCCCCCAAGGCCAAGGCCGCGGCCAGGGGCGGCTCCTCAGCTGGGACCTCCAGCTCGCCTGAGGCCATCTACTTCCTCGGCGCAGGTGTCTCCAAGGCCAATCTCTGCATCTCGCCGAAGCTGCTGGAGTACATCGCAGACCAGATGAGGGCGGAGGCCGCCATCAACAAAGAGCGCCGCAAGGCTCGCGAGGAGCGGGCCTTGCGGGCGCCATGGCGCCTGAGAACTTCAGGCCTGGCTGTGGGGCGCGCCGCAGAGGCGCCAGCCATGCTCATTGCCCCCTCGCTGCATCACCCTTTCGGCAGCGAGACGTTTCCCCCCTCCGCCCTATTCCTGTGGAGCGAAGATCAGGCACTTCATCCATGGGCGGGTCGGCGCGCAGACGGGCCGCCAGGGGTGCTGCGTGGCGGGAGTGGTGCAACGACGCGGTGTCCACTCTCAACGACATGTACCACTGCGACCCGAACGATGTGATCAGCCCGCCTCCTGGTCTTCCTCCGCGTGCTCGTAGTGGCGCTGAGGAGTATCTTGCTCAACAGTATCGCGATTTTGAACTACCTCCTGGATATTCCGAATCTCCTCCGAGATGCGAGGCAGCCCTCGCAGAGTTGCTCGCGTCGGCGCCTGGGTACTCTGGAGAGTCTCGGGTAAGACCCTACAACAAGGAGCTCGTCTCCTGGCCGAAGCGCGTGGCGCCTGTCCCGACGGCCGACCTCGTGTCTGAAGCTGATCGTTCTATGTTGGCAGGGTGGAGGCATCAAATGCTACGTGACCCTGCTGATGCAGCTGCTCTCAGGAAGACTCGGGACTGGGGTCGCCCTATGTGGATCCACGCCTTCGGTTTCGCCCTCGGGAGTATGCTGATTTTCTGCTACGCCTGGACCAGGCTGGCATGCTTGAGTGGGAGGTCGCCGATCGTCAGGCTACCTACTCTATTGGCTTTTTCTTCGTCGAGAAGTCCAACGGCGTCAACCTGCGCCTCGTCTTCGACACGCGGGTGGCCAACATGTCCTTCTCTGCCCCTCCCTCTACGAGATTGCCGACTCCGTCGGCATGGAGCGCACTCG